TGGTGAGTCTGGGGTGACAAAGCAAAATACCTGAGGATCCCCAAGGATCCATGGTTCAGAACCGTACTTTAGAACCATGTTTTTGTTCCGTGGTGTCACCACAAAACATGATTTGATGATGATGCTGGGGTAACTCAAAGGAAAAATCACGAGGATCTGTGAGGATCCCTGGTTCAGAATGTTTTTGTGCCATGGTGTAGCCACAAAGCCATGGATCTATGATTTCTGCGGTGCAAGCTCTGCTCATGGATATGATATCTGATTTGATGGTGAGTTTGGGGTGACCCAGCACAAAACCCCCCTAGGATCCATGAGGATCCATGCTTCAGATCCATATTTTTGCAGCACAAAGCTGTAGATCTGTGATTTCTGTGGTGCAAGCTGTTGCCATGGACATGGGATATGATTTGATGGTGAGTTTGACATGGCCCAATGCAAAAAACATGAGGATCCATGAGGATCCGTGCTTCAAAATCATGTGTCGCCATGAAGCCATGGATCTGTGATTTCTGTGGTGCATGCTGTCCCCATGGACATGATATATGATTTGATGGTGAGTTCATGGTGACACAATGCAAAAATCCCAAGGATCCATGAGGATCCGTGTTTTTGCCTCATTTTTCAGGATGGGGTTGCCACAAAGCCGTGGATTCATGATTTCTGTGGTGCAAACTCTGCCCATGGACATGATATCTGATTTGATGGTGAGTTTGGGGTGGCCCAAATAAAAAACCCTTAGAATCCATGAGGATCCATGGTTTAGAAGCATGTTTTTGCTGCATGGTGTCGTCACGAAGCTGTGGATCAATGATTTCTATTGTGTAAACTATGGCCATGGACATGGCATGTGACTTGATGGTGATGTTGGGGTGATCCAATGCAAAAACCCTGAGGATCCATGAGGATCCATGCTTCTGAACCACATTTTTCAGGATGGTGTCACCATGAAGCTGTGGATCCGTGATTTCTGTGGTGCAAGCTCTGGCCATGGACATAATGTATGATTTGATGGTGAGTTTGGCATGACCAAATTCAAAAACTGTTAGGATTCATTTTTTTTATTATTTTAAACCATAAATTTTATTGAACTGTTAGGATTCATGAGGATCCATGGTTAGGAACCATGTTTTTGCTTCCTGGAGATCCCATGAAGCCATGGATCCATGATTTTTGTGGTTCAGCCTGTGGCCATGGAC